GCCTGTTTTACCATGGTTGATCTCATTGTAGTACAGTGAGTTTTCAATAAACCTTCAAATGTGATACTTTTCATAACATATTTACTAAACATATTGTATTTAGGTGGCATCTACGACTGAAGTCTGCCAGGCAATATACGCTGTGCATGGAACAATCTATGAATGTGGAGATGTTCTTGATTGTGAGTCAACACTTAATATAATATAATATAATATAACATAATATAACATAACATAACGTAACGTAACGTAACGTAACGTAATATAATATAATATAATATAATATAATATAATATAATATAATATAATATAATATAATATAACAAATTTTGTATTACTGAATACGCATATCCTAGCAATTTAATAGTTGTGTGTTTAATTTTCCAGCTGAATATTCTGGATTTGCTCTAGACTGGTATTATGGTAATGCAACCATCAAGTATTCATACTTGGTAGAGCTACGTGACCAAGGAGAGTATGGTTTCTTACTGCCAGAGGATCAAATCATTCCATCTGGTGAAGAGACATACGCAGGAATGAAAGCAGCTATCAAATTCGTTCAAGACAACGACATGGCTTGAAAATAAACATTCGACATTAATATGTATCTTCTTTTACGTTGGTCAGCTTTTTGATGATTGAAATAATTTTGATATAACCTATGCTTAAAGCCTTTATTCATTTACACAACTTAATTTCCGTAAACATTGTTCTTTCAATGCTGTGAATTCGTTGAACCTGGAGGTAAACAGACATACTTCAGTCAGCCAAAGATGAAATGCGATATGCTAAACGCAAAATACATTATTCTATATCTTTAAACATTCCCTTATCGCTCAACCCATGTACTAATGCTATTTCAAAAATGTAAAGAGACTGACATTGTTTCAATAAACTGATTCCCAACTATTATGTTCCTTTCTGCTCAGCAATGTACAATATTGATCCCTGATATAAAAATGCAACTGACGCAGACTGAATTTGAGTCGGTATCTACCACTAAATCGTCTTCTTAAAGCGACGTTCGATAAATCTATTCATTATTCATTCAGAGGCATAAATTGTTGTGTTATGAAATCATCAGATGAGCGCCAGATACATGTACTAGATATCTAAACAGAATAATATGGAACTGGTATTTCTGTAATCTTCATATATGCCAACACGATTGAGAACCACACCACGATTATTGATAGGACATCAATAATAAAAGCATGATTTGTAGTTCAGCATTTCATATATTTCAACCTCAATGTATCGTGTTTTTTTTGGTTAACGTGACAGGATTTTATTTTCATCACGCGCTATATTGCTTCTGCGTCCGATGTACACAAAGTAAAATGTTAAAGCGGAGGGTCGTCACCTGCGCACACGCGGGAATTGAGTCCCAAATAACAACAC